CTTATCTCCAAAGTGTCAAATTTATCTGATGACCTATAAATTCAATACACGTTAAGAAATCCCTATAGGGGTTTTCATGGAACTTGACAAAATAAAGCTATGAAGAAAACAGAACAATAAGAAGAAACTTGCTTTACCCCTTAATCCCCCAAAAGTCTTCTTATAGTGTTGGTTACTGAAACAGGAAAGTGTAGTCAAAGGAATAAATAGATCAAAGGAATACAGAGACCAGAAATAAATTCAAGCATATATATATATAAACTTTATATATGATAGAGTCAGCATCATATCCAATGAACACTACTGGGGTAACTGGTTTAGCATAAGGAAAGCATAAAACTGGATTTCTACCTGACACCATATACTAAAATAAATTCCAGATGACTTGAAGTCTTAGACATGAAAAACAAAATTTTAACACCCTCCATACCAAGCTACTGACCTAGCAATCCATTTTTAGTAACTTATTATGAGAAATTAATTGGTAAAGGGCAAAAAGATATATACAAGAATATATCTTCGAGCCCTTCTATTATCATTCATAATAGGAAAACTATTAAAACCTTAAACATACAACAAAGAATTAGTTAATAAGTTGTATGGTATCAATATAAACATACAACAGCTAACAAAAATGATACAGAGCTGTATTAGTGCATGAAAATGAATCCTATAAAAAGTGGATTTATAGACACAGTAATCAAGGCTAGTACTGATGGATACCAATGGAGTCTGTTCAGTGGAACAGAACAGAGAATCCAGAAATACACCCACAAAAATATGGCCAACATATTTTTGACAAAGGTGCAAAAGCAATTCAATGGAAGAAAAGATGGTCTTTTCAATAAATGGTGCTAGAAAAATTAGACATTCATAAGCCAAAACAAACACAGAAGAATCTTGACATAAGTCTCACATCTTATATAAAGACTAACTCAAAATGGATCATGAACTCAAATATAAAACATAAAACTATAACAACTTTTAAGGAAGAAAAAGACGCAGGAGAAAATCTTTGGCATCTGGGACTAGACAAAGACTTAACCCAAAGACATGATCCATTAAAAAATATTAATAAATTGGACTTCACCAAAATTAGAAACTTTTGCTCTGTGAAAAACTTTGATAAGAAAATGAAAAGACAGGCTATAGACTGGGAGAAAATACTTGCCTAAGGATTGCTATCTAGAATAAAGAAATCTCAAAACTCAACAGTAAAGAAAAACCCTCAAACAATCCAATTAGAAAATGGGCAAAAGACATGAACAGACATTTCACAAAGAAGACATTCGGATGACAAATAAACACATGAAAAGATGTTCAATATTACTAGCCATTAGGGCAATGCATACTAAAACTACAGTGAGATGTCACTACACACCTATTAGAATGGCTAAAATTTTTAAAAATAGCGACAACATCAAATGCTGGCAAGGATGCAAGAACCTACATCACATATACGTTGCTAGTGAGAATGTAAAATGGTTCAGCCACTCTGGAAAACAATGTGGCAGTTTCTTAAAAAACAAAACATGCAGGTCTTCCCTGGTGGCGCAGTGGTTGGGAGTCTGCCTGCCGATGCGGGGGACACGGGTTCATGCCCTGGTCCGGGAAGATCCCACATGCCGCGGAGCAGCTGGGCCCGTGAGCCACGGCCGCTGGGCCTGCGCGTCCGGAGCCTGTGCTCCACAACGGGAGAGGCCACAGCAGTGGGAGGCCCGCATACCGCAAAAAAACAAAAACAAAAACAAAACATGCAATTACCAAACAATCCAGCAATTGTACTCCTGGGCATTTAGTCCAGAGAAATAAAGACTTACATTCACACAAGAACTTACACATGTAGTTTTATTCATAATGACCCAAACTGGAAACAACCCCAATGCCCTTCATGGGTGAATGGTTACATATAGTGTAGCGCTTTCATATGATGGAATACTATTCAGTTATAAAAAGGAATAACCACTGATATACACAACAACCTGAATAAATCTCCAGAGAACTATGGCAAGTGAAAAGAGCCACTCCTACAGGGTTACATACTGTATGATTCCATTTAACTAATATTTTTGAAATGACAAAATTATAGAAATAGAGAACAGATTGCTAATTGCAGAGGTTAAAGAGGAAACAGAGGTAGGAGGGAAGTTAGTGTAGCTATAAAAGACAAACACGGAAGATCCTTACAGTGATGTAAATGTTTTGTATCAATGTCAATATCCTGACTGTGACACCGTACTTGAGTTTCACAGGATGTTACCATTGGGGGGAGCTGGGTAAAGGGAACGTGTCATCCCTTATCATTTATTACAACTGCATGTGAATATACAATTATCACAAAATAAAAGAGGACATGTAAAAAATTATCACTTTTATAAAACTGCATATATTATATATAAAATATCTACATATTAATAGAGAAATATCTGTAAATACATACAGAAAAGAGTATTATTGGTTATCTCTGTTGGTGAGATGATGGGTGATTTTTCAATTTCTTCTTCATACATTCATGTATTACCAAAGTTTTTCAATGACTATGCTATACTAATAAGAAAAAAATGAAGCTATTTTCATTATGATAAAGACAAGTAATACAGGCTCATTGCACACACTTTTTTCCACTGAACATTTTACTGTATTAATTCTTTGAAATATCATTTAAAAAACTATTTAACATTCCATTTCATTGATCAATTTTACCATTTCTCTATTATGGGAACTTAAGGGTTGTTTCTAATTTCTTACTGTTAAAATAAGCAATGAAATAGGTTTCTTCTACCTGAATCTTCACATGCGTCTCTGATCACGCCCAAAGCTAGCCCTCCAATCATGGAGTTACTGGCTTATAGAGTAACTATGCTAGAACGCACTGAAAAGTGGCTTTTCTGAAAAACTATGAATTTATGTCCCCATCCTTGGTGCATTTGTGTTTCACTCTGTCCCTGAGAGGTTGCCAGTGTAGTATTCACACTCCAAGCTCCACAGATGAAATGAGTGAGGAAAACAAGACATGTTGTCAACGTCATGGCGTAATAAAGTCAACTTCATACCAGTCTTTTACTTTGCACAAGCTACTGTGTGTGGGTCTTGCTTACTCCTCTTCATTTCTCTTCACCTCCAGAAAGTTCAAACTTCTTAGCCTGACACCCAAAACCTGCCTCTTTCTGCCTCATTCACTTGGCTGCAGCCACTCTCACATCCTTGCTGTTCCTCAAACTCATTTCACACACCTCTGCCCAGGGTTCTTGTCCGGACGTCCACAAGGTTCACCCCTCAGTGACTTCACGTCTTTGCTCAAATGTGCCCTACTGGGGGCCTTCCCATCCCACGCTGTGTAAATTAGCAACCCCCTTCTCCAGCCCCATCTGTATTTACTTGCTCTGTTTTTCTCCAGCAATGACAAGAGAATATGTTTTTACATTTTTTTTTTTTATTATTATTTTTTTTTTTTGCGGTACGCGGGCCTCTCACTGTTGTGGCCTCTCCCGTTGCGGAGCACAGGCTCCGGACGCGCAGGCTCAGCGGCCATGGCTCACGGGTCCAGCCGCTCCGCGGCATGTGGGATCTTCCCGGACCGGGGCACAAACCCGTGTCCCCTGCATCGGCAGGCGGACTCTTAACCACTGCGCCACCAGGGAAGCCCAAGAATATATGTTTTTGATTATTTCCCCAACTTTTTCCGAAACTTAAGAAAAAAATTTTTTAACCCCTATCCTCCAAGGCACTGTCATCCCAACTCATACAGACTGTAAGTTTTGTCTCCTTATGTTTACAGGAACCACCATCAGCTCTAGCACAAGTTATTTTTAAGACTTCCCTCCTACAACCTTTATACTGGTGTCCTTTCTCCATCTTGGCCTCCACCTATGCAGATACCCATGATCTAATCCCTGTTCTTGGAGGAGCCCTTTTCACACTGCCCGAGCTCTGTGGGTCCAGATTACTGTTCCTTGCGTCTCTTCTCCACCACCCTTACAGCACCCAGTCTCTGCATCCTCTACATCAGCCAAATCAACAAAGATATAGTATAAACACAATAAGCTACTTCATACTAAGGTGTGTTTGATTCCAGAGGTCACTGAGAGAAAAGCAAATTTTTACAGTTTCTAGCTAGAAAAAGGAAGATGTAAAATGTATGATTTCTGTTCTGAAGACATTTCTGTTCCACTTATTTCTTCAAACTTTGGCAACTCTTTGATTTTGTCATAGTCGAGTCTTCACCTGAAAAGTCTTACTCTAGTTTAACATCTAGTTTAACATTATCTAAGTCTTATTCTAGTTGAACATTAATGTTAAACTAGAACAAGACTTTAGCAGCGACCTCCTGCCTCTGAACAGCAAAGGATGCCTCCTCCTGACACTCCTCCTTTCAAAGCAAGTTTTTTTCTACCTCATTGACTCTCTATTTCATATCGAATTTCAGCAGAGCCTGGCTTTCTCTCCTCAAGATGTATCTGAAAGCTCCCTTTTCCTTTCCACTTCTTTACATCCACAGATTGTTTCCTAAGGTATTAGGAATCAGATCCACACAATCAGTCCCTATGGAAAACGCTTGCTATTAAATGTTATGAGACAATTCAATTATTTTTATAAGAAGCTACTTTGAGACGAAAAATATAAAAAAGAGACCACCATTATGTTATTTAGTTTCCTCTGTCATTATGATAGGTAATGCAATGTGGTTTGCTTTCTTTTCCTGGGTACCTAGACTTTTTCCATGCTTGCAGTGGACTACAAACATATTTTTAATTTTTAATTTCACTTTTCCATGAAGTATGAAATAAAGCAAGGCAGTGTATATCTAGTTTTAAAGAACTAGATATACACCTGTGCTATTTTGATGGTAGGATAAATAATTTTTAAAACATAATGGAGATACTTTTCTGCATTTTATACCAAAGCTTCCTGAGATACATTCAACTGCTCACAACCACAGGACATGTGAAATATCCCCAAAGAATCAGAACCTTCCTCCAGCCCCATGAAAGACTACTCACCAGACTTCCTTGCTTTCAAAGCAATAACAGCTGCTAGCTCTCTCTGCACCTAATAAAATATTAGGGGGAAAAACCAAATTAGAATAAGAAAAATGTAGCTTTGTTTTTAGATATGCAACCAAAGTTAAGAGCTGTTGCATTAAGTTTGCTGCCATGTTTTTGTTTGTTTTTAATAATATGGAAAAACCTCTGCATAGGAATTTTAGGCCAATCCTCATAGAATCTGATGGACTTACTTTAAAGAGAAATTAAACAGTTGCCAGAATGTACACATTGGAAAACATTGGTACTTATGCCATGATGATAAGTACCGCAAAAACACAACTGTGTAACATTCAGAAATAATGCAAATAAATTATTAAAACAGGCAAAATACTGTGGCAAAGATATTAAATATTCTTTATCTCTCAAAGATTCTAGTTTATAGAGAAATTCTAGAAAAATTGAGGTAGGTGATCCTAGTTTAATTTGACCTCTGTTTGAATACAATGAAGGATCACTTGAGGCCTCACAGGTGTACAGCAACCATTTCAGATATTATGCTGCATAAAAGCAAGTGCTATCAACACACAGGGCAGGTGAAATGGGGATAGGCAAGATGACCTTTAATACCCTAAGTGCCTTAAACCTCACTCATTTGTCCAGATTTTTGCTTGCTTACTCTCTCTCTCTCTCTCTCTCCCCCCAACACATATGCTTAAATCCTTTCTCAAAAACATTCTCAAAGAGTAACATAAAACAGAGACCAAAGAAGATAACCACAGTCACTTTCAAAGATAACATGGAAAAAAAAAAGATAACACGGGGATAATCTTTGGGAAATCTATGTTTGATAGCAAAAAATTTTCATAATAAGCAAGCTCATTCCTCTTCAGGACACAATCTTTTAAGCTTAGAAGAGTGTGAGAGTGTGTGTGTGTGTGTGTGTGAGAGTGTGTGTGTGTGTTTGCAGGGGTGGTGATACTGAGTTTGGAAGGGTCCTGCAGCTTACTATACTAATGACATTTTTAAAGGCAGAGCATGAAAGCTCAATGTTAAAGATTTGCTATTGAAATCAATCTAATTTACATTGATGTACGTGAAGGCAAAAGTAGCCCAGTGAGTCACTGGGACTCTGTTTAGGACCAATTTCACAATGACCAGGGTATCATCATCCCTGAAGCAGGCAGCTTCCCCGCCCCCGCCCCCGCTATACTGCTTTACTGCCGTGCTTTCCCTGGCTGGCTAGTATGAGTGCCATTCAAAAGGGTATATATACTCCTGATTTAACTGATTCGTCGATTCCTTAAGACTTTCTCAGGAAAATTATATTGTAATCAGAAGATAATCCGTCCCTTTCTAACCGTGGGAGTCTGAGACCCAAAAATACTCATGAGTAGAAGAATTTATAGTTGAAGAACTCATGGGGGAAAAGAGAGCTGGGGGAGACAGGAGTGATGATTAATCAGAGGAAAGCCTTTATAAATACTTGTATGTGTAGTAATAAAACAGCAACAAAATAAAATATAAATTAGTGCCTATTTTATATATTTGAAATTACGTGTAAGGTTTATCGTAGTAACAGCATCTCTCTTCAGAATTTTCCTCTGTTACAGTGTCACAAATGTTTGGGGGTAGACAAAGATGCAGATTAGAAACACTCACTGGGACCTTGTGGGTGGCTTCCTGATTTTATGAGCTTCTAGGGAAGACTCCACTGTGGCTCAGAGACAGGAAAAAAGCAGAGATGGAAAAGGATGCAGAAGGTGGATCACTTAATTTGCATACAGAGGATCAAAAACTGTCTTCTCCACCCTCCATCAGTTTTCCATACTTGATATTCTCGTCATGAGAGCTTCAGTTTTTCTTTCTCAAATTAGAAATAAGGCTCAAAATAGAAATAGCTCAGAAAAGGAAACTGTTATATTCCCAAAACTGTATAAAACTACATCTTTTCAAAGATTTGGTACAGAAAGAAAGGGAGAAAGGGGATGAGAAAGAAACCAACATAGCACTTTTTGGGAAGCCAAGAAGATGAGAGATGAGCAGTGAGAAAGAGAAGAACTTCACAGTTAAAGTTACAAGGAACCTAAGCTTTTTCCTTTTTTTGTATTTTTCCACATAAAGTAAATGAGATTATTCTACTGTACTACACTACATCCCCTGAACATCTGCAGTCAGGGAAGACATAAAAGTGTTATGTTTCTGCCCCCGAGGGAAACTGTTCCTGACCAAAACCCCAAGGGTAGGTTATTCTTCCTCCAAAACACAAAGGGGGAAGAACAGACCAAGCAAAACACAAACTGGGTAAGATCCCGTTAGAGGCTCCTAGAGCATCTTCCCCGCACTTTTTTTTTTTTTTTTTTAAACACACAAGCAATGATGTAATTCATCATTTTCAATTGTGACTAATGCCTGTCTTCTGGGCAGAAGCTCCTCCAAGGCAGCCATCTTTTCATCACACTATCCAGGGCCATCAACACCCATTCAGTGATCCACAGGAGGTGGATGCAGAGGTAACCTTAAGAGAACAGAGACAGAACCTAGGGGAGAGAAAAAGCTGCCTGAGGAAGGACAAGGAAATCCAAAGGGAAGGCAGTCCCCAGTAAGAAGGGACTCGCAGCAGAAATCTTCAGAACATATTAGAAGGACTCAAAGCCTCCTTTAGCAAATAACTGTTAGGTTTATACTGAAAACTAAAACTTTGAACAACTGCAGAAACAGGGACTAGAATTTTCATTAAGCACCAATAAGGGACCTGTTGGCACTGAAAAAGAAATATAACACTCCAGCACCGGTCAAGTCTTCAGGTGTCTGAAATTCTGGCCCACATTTTGATTAACAACCCAGAGCAAAAACCATCCTGCTGAGATGCTCCTGAATTCCTAACATTCAGGAACTGGTTAAGATAATAAATATGTGTTGCTTTAAACCATTAAATTTGGTGGTAGTTTGTTACGCTGAAAAGTCTTTCAGAGATGATTATTTTTTCTACTTGATCTACTTGTGTTGTTGGTTAACATAAGTTTCTCTCAACATGACAGAAGTGGAACCCTCTTCTCAGATCAGTTTCAAAAAAAAATGTAGACATATAGAGCCAAGAGCCATGTTCTGACATTCGCCATTGTTTTTATTTAATGCGGGTGCTAAACCACTGCCTAGGAAATTAGAAGAAATGCATTGTTCTTAATCTGACAGGAAGTACATTATTACACTGGTCTTCCCTATTACAAGCCTTCCCTACTATGATCTGAACCCTTGAGGCTAGATGTATTCCAGAATTCAACATTTTATATAGTTCAGAAAGGTACCCTATCTAGGGCACACCCTCAGTGAGGTCTTGGGCAGTAACTTATAATAAGAAATCAGACACATTAATATTTCTGCGGGGACACATTAGAGGCAGGAGCCCACTGTGCCCCCCTTTGCCTGGCAAAGTAATAAAGCTATCCTTTTCTATTTCACCCCCCGCCAAAAAAAATTTTCTGCAATGAAATGTATGATTATTCATACTAAATGGGATAAAGACAGACTAGGAAAGGCCTCTGGATTTTCTACTAAATATATTCAGTTTAGGTTAGATTTTTGCCACCAAGTAAGTTATGAAACCCTATTCTTTTTCAGGGCTTTTATATTTCAGAGCTGTCAATAATGGATTGTAAACCTCTATTAACTTTACACTAAAAGTTTCTCCCCATCTTTTTCTCTTGGATCTTCTTGTCAAATACCTATGTAGTCAGTACGTTTTGTCTACCAAGAAATGCTTTCTTTAAATAGCTTGGATTTTCATGTATTTCAAACCTGACTGCACATGAGAATCACTTGGGGAGCTTTAAAAAAACAATTGATACCTGGGCCCCAACTAAATCAGAATCTCTGGGGAAGAGGTCCAGCCAACAGTATTTGCTGCTGCTGCTGTTTCCATGTTCCCTAAGTGATTCTATCTAGGTTGTATCCAGGGTTGAGAAGCACTGCTCTACTTAATAAGATATCTTAGTTTCCCCAAGACTCAACCTTCTAATCTTATAATCATTTCAACTGACAATCAATCTTTACTTTTTATTTTGTTCTCCTCTAATTTAATTCATTTGTAAAGGAACATGGCCTTCACTGTGTTTTAGGTATTAAATTATGATATAATCCAATCAAATGATAAGATTCAGTTACTACATCAGCAGTTTGACAGACACGATCTACTCAAGCACAAGGAAAACTGCAAGGGAGCTTTTTAAGAAGCTTAAACTTTAAAACATAGTTTACTCAGTATAAAAAGAACCATGTAACTCAAAACACATCTGCAGCTTCGGGTATATTTGCTCTTGTGAATATTTAAAGAGAGGATAATTAAGGGACTGATAAAACACATCTCTAATTTTTCTCTCTCCTCTGGGTACTCACCAGCAATTTTAAAATGTTTTAAAATGCTGAAATGTTTTGGCTTTCTATCTTCAATAACCAGCAGGACTGTTCACAAAATAGCCCTGAAATTCAACAAGAATCAGAGCCAGTCTTAGTTCCAGTATTTTGTCTTTTTTCTCTGGCACTTTATAGTGCCTTCAGCCTCAAAATACAAAGCTCGAAAAGGTGTTTTGCATCAGTACAAGACTCAAGAGGCAACAGGAAGTGTCAAATGCAAACCCTGAGCGCCAGGGATCACGTGCATGGGAGAGGTTAACTGAGAAGACATGGCAGGCTTCCTGGAGGAACAGACCCTTGAAAACCAAGCGTGAAGCTGGATGGAAAGTCAGCAAAGGTCATTGTGGGAGGACAGATCAACAGTGGCAAAAGTCTTACCTAACCACAGGGCCATTCTTAAAAACTAATTTTAAATAGGATCATGAATTCACAAATTCCCTAAAGGTTTTTAGTAAATCTATTAATCTTAGAAACATTTAAATGTTGATACCATGACAGAAATGTTTTTAAAACACAGAACCCATTTTCTCAATTACCTAAATTAAATGTAAGAAGAAACATAAGCCAATACTCTTCCCTGTTTTATTCTCAAATGTACTTACTTTTAAAACACTATAAAATCTTAAGATACTATGGACTTAAAGAATTCTAGAA